AAATCATTTGGGTCTTCACATAAGACATTTTGTGGAGAACATTGAAAATATTTTAACATGAAGTAAATTAATAGAAATATCTAGGCGTTATAATTTTGTATTTTATGTGAAAAATTTTATAGTAATTAAACAAGCTATGTTAGTCGTTTGTAAAGCAAAAGCTCAGTAGATGAAAATTGTGGAATAAAGTTCCACGGGAAACTTAAATATGCTGTTATGGTCTACTGCTTATTGCAATGCATGGCTGGTATTGACACTGCATGCTCTGGCCAATATCATACGGGAAATTATGTTGAAAATTCATCATGTCTAACTTCATAACTACATCTATTTAGAATTCGGAGAGATTTGCTTTTTGCAATGCACGCATAAGAACCAATCTGTTACTTTCTATGAGGTTAAGATCAGGAAGATCAGGCTTATTCTTTTAATATATTTCATCCATTTTTGGCAGGTCATCATCACAGTGTAAAAATTTATAATTCAAAAGTGTAAATGAATTACCAGAAACATTATGGAAATTGCTTACATCAGATAGAACAGCCTTTTGATATATCTTTTGATGAACGCTGAACAGTCATGGTTTTTTTTTTCCAAAACAAACAACAGTGTATGTCCGAAATACCATCCCATCCATCATGATTACTTCACTACCTTTGCAATGTAGAATTTACTCGATGTTTTTGGCAGTATAGGTAAGGCCCAACTCACAACGGAAGTATAGCAGACTTTCGACTAACCGGGATAATACGGGGATAACATGCACGGTCAATCCAAATCACGAATGATTCGACAGCAGTTAAAAAATACTCTGTTATATACTATTAACAGTAAAAAAATATTAACAATTTATCTGAATTTTCAAGCAATTTGATTTGAGAATAAGTTTGTTTGTGTATATAAATTAAATCATATTCGAAAACAAGAAATCACTTTCAAACACAGAAAACAATGCTTTTGTTTATTTTACTCGCGTATTTTTGTAGGCGTCAGATGGAATATTAATGTTTATGCACAAAGTTGCTTGTTACGATTTAATTTATTTTTACCGGATGATTGAGCAATGTTTTTATATTATAAGTTATGTGCAGTTATATATTGTTGTGGATAAAAAAAAATGTTTTTTGAATATTGTGACACTTAACAGAAATTTTGCTTTATTCTGATGGTTTGGTATAGTAACTTTTCCCATTGTTCCGTAGTAAACAAATGTAACGTGTTTTTAAGGGCTTTGTACGCCCATGTAACTCAATAGCATATGTTTAAATAATATAGCCTTCCTCGCCGTTGACCATTGTACATAACGAGTAGACTTCGTCCTCCTCAGCACAAAATACGAAAACAGTCTAACTAGAACAGCAGATCTGTTTTTCTCGTGAACGTACAAAAAGTGCAGAGTTTACTGCAACTCCTATTGGATTGTTTATGGCACTACCGACAAGCCTTGCTTTGCTTGCTGGGATTGTGAGAACTTAAGCTAACTTGATAGAAATACTGTCTGAGCAGAAAACGTTATGATATATTGTTTCCGAGCTTGAATTGTGCTCTTTTTCTAACCTACTAGCATTTTGAAGCGAGATTTATGGGCAATGGCAGCTGTTGCGTGTGCAACGGTTTTCAGATGAAGTTGTTTTATACTTGATTGGCGGCTGATGTTCCTTCTCGTAGCTAATCCCATTTAAAAAGCGTTTCCTATAATCATGTGACTCCGCTTTGCCAACTTCGAATTCGTTCGTTGCTTCTGACGCTGACAATCCAACCTCCAATTTCACTTCGATTCTGCCTTAGGTAAAGTCAACTAGATATTTTCCCATTTTGTCAAGGCATTTTCTCTCTAACAGCGTAAGACAAAGGTTTCCAGGATATGAAGGATGAACATAATATGCAGGATGAAACTCGGTGTACACACTCCCGCAACAGTTTCAATTTGCATTTTCTGCCTGAATCTTAATTTTCAGATATCAACGTTAACATCTTATCGTATAAACATTAGTTCTAACGCTTCATAGGAAAATAACTAATATAATAAAATTTGTATAGAACATGGTTTTCTCTGTTAGGTGGCATCTAAAAGACCCTAATAACGGATTTCGAATACATTTACTCAATGAAACTATACTTTATGTTTGAAAATTATAAAAGTTAGTAAAAGCATGAATTTAAGATTTTTATTGAGATAAATATTACACTAATTTCAGTTGCTTTTTTTTTAGTAATAATTCTCTAATTTTCTTGAATCACCGTTTTTATACTTCGATTTTAAGCGAGAAAATAAGTAAAATTGGCTGAAAACAAGATAAATTGGAGAATACATCAGTGCTGTCACAGTGTTAGATACTCATTAAGTGCCATTTAATGGATGAGATGTCTTTTCCTGTCTTATCAATGCAACATGAAGTTACAGAAAAGAGCAATTTCAGAGGCTGTTCGCACATTTTTTAGACGATTTTCATTGTAGTATTTACAGACATAGTTTAACTGAAATTTTTGTGTTTTAAATATTCTGTTTGATAACCCTTACTCTACACTATCTCTCTACACCTTAATTTCCAAGATAGTCTTTTGTCGTATCGGAAGAGTTATTTTATACCATTTCTTTTGAACAGTTTTCCAAAGTCCAAGGAGTTTTGTAGGTCGACGTCTGGACAATCTTCTTTTTAAAAGACCGAGAGCGCAAACTCCATGAAAGAAGTTTTAATATTGTTACGAAATGTACAGGCGCGGTAAGATGGCTTACCCGCAAAGCAGTTTTAGGGTTGCCATAAAATAGCAAGGAAAGCAAGTTTCCACATATTTTTGCGAGAAGTGTCTCTTTGGCACAAAATGGGGCGATGTAACTATGGTGGGTTTGGGGAATCGTTGGAAGAATTTCTTACAGGGGGTTTTTTTTTTTTTTTTTTAGTGCCCAGCATTTTTCTCGAACCCCAAGCCAAAGCTATAGAAACCATGCTGGCCCGCCTCAGAGGGTGTGTGTTCCTCGCGATAGAATGCGAGAGAGCGAGTGCCCTCGTCGAGAGGGCGAGTCAGAGTTTGTGCCTTGTCTAGCGAGCTTCTAGTCGTTCATTGAGCGAGTGTCTCGAAGTCTAAGCGCCGATTGGCTTCGATTGCATCGAGAGAGTCTTTTAGTGATACGAATTATTTTTAGTGACATCTTCGAGTTTAGTCTTAACTGTGCTTAGTCGAGAGCTGGACTCTTGTGTTATCGTCGAGTGCATCGCGTGGAGATCTCGAGAGTCGTGGATTTCCGACACCGACCACGCAGAGTTGGGAACTATACTCGGGGGCTTTGCATTGAAGCTGTTTTCCAATCCATTCAACTCCACCAAACCGTTTTTATTTGGTCCTGAACAGTGTGAAGCTGTGTCGCTGAACCGTTGTCAGCGTGTTTATAACAGTTTCGACGACGGTAAAAGTGATTTTGGATCTGTCCTGACATATGGCTAAATAAAGTGGTGTTTCGATACTTCATCAAGTAGTGTCGTCTTTATTCACTCCAAATCCACACGAAACCCGTACGAACGTGAAGGAAGAGAAAAACGCAACAACTGGTGTCAGAAGTAAGAAAGTATGGATATGAACAACAGTATGGATATGAGTGAAGGATATGACTTTGATACCCATTCCTTATTCCATTTTTTCCAGGAATTTACAGTGGATTTCGAAGTGTGGCTGCTTGGTTTGTCTTGACGCACTTCTGATTGATCACACTGTGGGTAAACAGCAGATATTTCATATTTGAAAATTGGTTATAAAATATGTTAGTGATTAAAAGGTAGAACTGATGTAAGAATTTCTCTCTATCCTCTTTATTTTTAATTTGCTGTTATATTAAAAATCAACATCAATCATAAATACGTTTGAAAAACTTTCTTTAGATGTTCTGATCCATGTTTGCAGATTTTTTCCTCCTCTTTGATGGTAATAAATGGATTTTTTTATTGCAGTCATTTAAATACACCGAAATATTCATCTATTACGACAACATTTTCTCCATATTTTGCCGGGTAAATGTTTCTCATAAAGAATTCTGAAGCTTTTTCTGTGTTCGGTAATACGTCGTGGAGAAAGACGATGCAGAATATGCTTTTTCGCCTTTTTGAAATTCAAATCGACATTAATCACTTTCTTTCCAGTTGACACTGAGTATTTCAATGATTTTAAAACTGTCCTTTGGCTTGGCGGATTTTCTTTTAATATTAAGGGTCTTACCTTTGCAACATTCGAAACATCCCGTTTTCTTCTTGTATATGTATTTGAAGCAATTTTCCCCCTTTAAGCCAAACTTTGACGTTTTTTCCTTTCTTGTTGACAGTATTACCTGTCGTAGCTTTAGATGTCAAAAACCACGGCTTTCAGAGCATTTTTAATAACCATATACGAATAATTTTCTTCCGAAAGAACGCAAACATAGCTTTCCATCCACTGCTTCTTTAAAATTTAATCTAATTTGCATGAAAGCAAAACTGTTGTGTAATTTGAAGGAAAAAGCTAGAGGGCACTGTTGCTCGCATAGGTGAAAAAGAATAAAGTTTGTTCATGTTGAAGGCGGCGGCCTAAAGAATACGCTCCTGTATATAGTGAATTAAAATATTGTTAAAAATATAAAAGTTAAAATTAGTAAACTCACTGAACCACCATCATCTGATTTGGAAATGCACAAATTATTTCAAAAACTATCAAGTAGCAGGAACCTTAAAAAATACAGCTACAGTTAAAAAAAATTCCAAGCAGCTGATTTTTTTTATAGCAAAGCAAAGTCGTCTAAACAATGTGCGAACAGCCTATATTCTTGCCATTTATGACTTTGGAGAAAATTGGCCATCCACTTTTTATGTGAAATCTCAGCAATTTCAAATTTTGATAATGCAATAGTGTACCTATTCGCTATATATGTAACAGAATGCAGTGACAATGGTTATTCTAAATTTATCATAAACTTCTTTTCATAGATATGTTCTGTAACTTCATTTCAAAATAGAAAAAAACAACAATACTCAGTATTATGCACAACATTATACATTTTATTTTGTTATAAAAGATTATAGTAAAATATAAATGACATGTGCATTGTGAAGATTCAAATGATGATGAGAATATATTCAAAATATTTTGACGTCAGTTCTGTATAATTACTTATATTCTAGAACATCTGCGTGTATCAAAATTAACAGTTTTCAAATAACATACTTAAAGCTAAATATTTTCACGTATCAAATATATTTAACTCTTAATTGCTTAATACTGTCGATTTAGGACTAAAAACGTATCTCTTTTTATCTACTGCATAAACATAAATACGGTAAAATAATTGTTTTAACACATATTATTTAAAATATTCCTAATTTTAGAAAAAAAAAATACTTTACTGTTGCACAGAATTGAGAAACTTAACTTATATCTAAGGATGCATTGTTTGTGATTGCTTTATAATAAATATCAAGAATTTCCTCCTGATCATAAAAAATGAACCACAAAGCTGCATGCGACTTTATTACATAATATCCTCATGGAATGACATAATATTTTGCTGAATTTTACCTATTATATTTCAAAAATGATTAATTTTTAAGGTCTTTTTTATTTCAGTTACATATTTTATAGTACCTCAGTCTCATTTGAAAATGAACTATGTTACATATATTTATTAAAAAAATTAGCTTATATTTTTTTTATTTCGGGGTCAAATTAAAATGATTGATGAAATATCTTATGAAAATATTTGTGCATGAATATGTACAAAGTAATCCTACTTTAGCCCTTTGATCTTTCCTAATGATCTTGTTCCTTATCTATGCTAATTATTTTACAACTAATGATATGAAAATATAATTCGTTTGTTAGCAGTTCATCAGTTTACGTATAAAAGCGTATATTGGGGTTCTTGAAAACTATTCCTGTAATATAAAGTTGTGCTTGTAATTATAAAAAAGTTTAGAAAAGTGCTATGTAGCAGTTCATAAAAGTGCAAAAATGTCCTTCTGTTAGTACAAGCTTGGTATGAAACGATCATTTACTATATTTTGAAAATGAAATGAATTTAAAGCACTGTCACATTTTACTACATGTTATTAAATGTTTCATCAATTAAATAATTTTTATTACAGCAAGATGTGTTTAAGAGTATTTTTACATAAAAGGCACGGGAAAACAATGCAGTTAATTTTAGAAATTTAGAGATAGTTTAGAAATTTAGAGATGAATGTAATACATTCAAAAGTTTGACATTACAGAAATAATCATCAGAAATGAAGTTTCTTCAAACATTTGCAAAAATTAAATTTTGTTTTTATATTCTGAAAGATATATAGGTTAAATTTAATTAAATAAAAACCACACTTAGTACTCCTTGTAAAATTTTTAAAAGGGTAGATATAAATTTTTATCCTCAAAGAAATTAAAATTATTAGCTGAAATAAAATTTCATAAAATAGTACAAGTATATTTCATACAATATGACTAAACTGGTCTGAAGTTAAAATAAATTAAAGTAAAAAGTCAATTGATAAAAATAAATTTTATAGTTAAAAAACAATTTCAAAATGCGAAATTATCTGCCCAGCCCCTAATATGAAACACAATTTCTGCAAATTGACATAAATATTTTTAAACTGGGGTTCGAAGAAAAATAATGCATTACATCAATAAAACCCGAATTTCCCGCTACCCTTTCAATAAAGATTTGAAAAAAATCATCTCAAATCATAATTCAAACAAATGTGTTTGGCATCAAAACTATATGCCTCTTCGTACTAGTCTTCATTTTTGTGCTATTAATTTTGTACAGTTTTAAGTTTTAAGAGGTATATACTATATATAAAGAACTTTTGCAGTGAAATGGACAACTTTGTTCCACATTTCTAAGTTCCATGCAGCAGCACGTCCTGACTTTAGATCACTGTGAAGTATTTGGCAGACACACATTACTATTAACAGTAGATCAGTCAGTCAGTAGATTCACTTGTTACTGGAAGACCAACTCTTTCGCACTGTGTTGCAGAAAAGGTCTCACAGAAAATTTCACTTCTTGGAAAGCTTTACGCTACATCATTTTTGCGTCAAGTAGGTCCTATCACAGACTTCATGTCTGCCTATAATTTAATATTTATTTATTCTTAGTGCATATTTTGCCTAATCCAGTCTATGTATTCTGATACTCTTGTATAAACTCCAGGATAACCAGGAGACGCGCACTTTGTTCCAAAAGAAACAATTCCAACCACAGTCCATTGCCGAGAATTATTCGGCACCATTAAAGGGCTCCCGGAGTCACCCTGGAAAAACAAAAAAATAATTAAAATTTACAAAATAGAAATGAATTTTGGTTATGAATATAGGCATAGATTCTAATAATGTTGACTAATAAGACCAACATCCCATTGAAATAATCATTTTGAGTTTTTCTTTTATAGGCTGAGTGCGTATTTAGAATAATGCGAGTAAGAGAATTTTACTGTCTGTTAAATCTAGTTCTAAAACAATTGCCTGAAATACAAGAAAAACATGACATTTCATCTTTTGCAACCAAAAATCTCACTCCAAAATTAATCCAGTATACACCAAATGAATAGTAGAAAGTAGAGTTATAATGCGTCTTGTAATAATAATTCCAAAGAGTACACATAACGTCACTATTGCCTTATTTGCTTTTAGAATCGAAGCACCTACTATGGCCAAGCAATGATTGTCAGAGCAAAAAAGGGAAAGTACTTACATAAAGTATATTTCCAAGGGTAAACCAAGAAATTTTAGAAATGGTTTTACAACTGTAGAGAAATATGGTGTCATACAGTGATAGCAGCGCCCTCACCTGAAGTGAAGTCAGTTAGATGTTATATGCTAGACGGGAAGGGCGTATTAAGCCATATCCTTTGATTTGTAGAATTTTCTGTACAGTTAATTAGTTTGTTGCGAAAGGGGTTTTTAATTCTAAGTCGAAACTTCTACCGTATCTAAAGTCTTTTTATATGAAGAACATCATATCTATATCTATAATTGATCTATATTCGACAACTACTAATGCTAGCGGATCGGCTTAGCTATGAGTTAAAAGCGATTGACAAATAATTCTTTCACAGAAATGATATTATATATCAGATAACTGGAAATTATTGTTTTTATCTTATCTTAATGTACGTTAATCAGGCTTTTCAATGTTAGTATCTGATTGAGAATTTTCTAGCAATTTTCGGAGGTCTCTCTTTAATGGAAGTAAAGTCTGGGTAAATGCCCTTGTCATCCATTTACCTACTCACACATTGTCATCTGCGCCTCTTGGATAAAATCATCTTCAGTTTCATTCATAGTATTGCTCCTCAAAAGTATAATACTAGCAGAATAAACGCTTTTTCACTTATGGCAGAAATGAAGGACTGTATTATTTTACTCGTACGATCGAAAGGTCAACTGAAGGAGAAAAACCTGTTTCGTTTATTTCAGAATGGTTATCACTATCGAAGACTAAACTAAAAGAAACTACCTTAAAGGACTTAAAATTCACCATCCTATTGCCTAAACGTTAAATGATGCGCATGACTCAAAGATGGAAGATTTAGAAAAGTGAAACTATTTGGCGACAAATGTGACCTTTTAATATATGAAACTAGCACTTTTATTTTTCGAATTCTATTTATCGAGCTGATGGTCAATTGATATTCAATTTCACCCAGTTTGATAGGTCTATCTGAGTTAAGTGTGCTGTAAATCCAACTATATATTATATTTTTGGTGATAAACATAGCTGGGATTTTCAGGGCGATTTTAAATCAGGAAGAGTTTTAAGTTTTGGCTAAATTTTAGCATCAATATTATACTTCTTGGCATATATTCGAAATATATGATAATCATATTTCTATTAAAAGTTACAGACTAGTTATTTGCTACTTCCCTTTACAGACAATTTCATTTGAAGATATTTCTATTTTTATTAAAAAAAACTTATTTTCAACAAATAATAAGAATATTTTCAAGCATCACTAGTTACATAGAAACCAGCGTACGACAACAATTGTTTTATATCCCTTTATACTATCAAAACGGACTGAATAGAGCGGAACATTAACAGTATATGATATTAAGATAGCATCATCAGATGAGCGATAGCATCATCAGACAAGATTACGGATTCGAGAAAGTATTACTTTAACACTGTTCACATTAATTAAGGTCTTAAACATGGCTGTGAATCAATACTGATAATGCTAAAAGTAGGTAAAGAATCCAGATGTGGAATTTTCTGAATTCGTAGGAAATTACTTTATGAAAGATCTACACAAAAGTTTGCTTTTCAAGTAGATTATATTGAGTTTAAATAAAAAAACGAGATTTGAATCTAATTAATTATAGGGAAAAATATTTAGACCAAATGGCAAATTAGTAAGGAACAGAAAATGTTTTCGAGTGAAAAATATGAATATTAAACGAGTGATAATTTTTATTACGATTCAGGCAGAAGTATGGAATTCATATTTCAAGGTAATACGGCAATTTAATCTCGATACAGTAACTAAATTTATACTTTGAGCTTAATTCTCAATAAGACAACATTTTGTATACCTATGCTTTAAACTAGAGCTTTTCAAACTATGGTATATTAAGTTCTTTTTGACAGTGCAATAATTTTCCCACGAAAGATTTAAATAAATGATCAAAATGAATATAAAATGGTGGTGGAATGTATAATTGTGCTCATTTTGATACATATATTGCTATGTGATGATACGTATTTTTGTTTCTTTGTTTTGTGGTACAAAATTTGAAAAGTTCGAGAACCTCTGTTTTAAACTATTAAGGAAAATAATTTGACTGCAGAGTAACAAGTTCTATGTTTAATGTGAGATAAGTCATAATTATGCAATCTTATATATAAGAACATCTGAAGAGTGATTGCAAGATTAACAATCTTGAATGTTAAACCCTTTGTGCAGGACAGCGAAACCTACAAAAATAGTCTTAATATCATATACTGAAAGAAGAAGAGAGTCCTGAAATGCAAGAATGTAAGATTTAAATAGCCACACTTTTTGACTTTTATTTCATGAGAAACAACTGAATTCCTGTTATCAACACCTTTCCCTAAGATACTATGCATGCAGATAACATGCATGCAGATAGATAGAGTCATAAAAAAGGCTGAACTTTATTTTAAACAATTTTATTCGAAAACTTTTTGCGGTAGCTGAACAATAAATCTTCTCTCTTAAATTAATAAGTATCGGTTATGAACTCCATTAACTGCCTTGAGGTGTTCTGTTTCCGTTCACTTATAATGGGTCATGTCTATTGTGACTATAGCAACTACAAAAAGCTGTCATTTGGCAACAGTTATTTGTGTTCCCTAAGTTCGTCGAAAGCTAGTTTGACGCAGTTACTTTTACGCGCACCACAACATATACTAGACTTTTTGTACAGTTAACATCTTCATTTGAACTGTCTGGTTAAAGGGGGGTCATCATCACAACTGAGTAAAAACTCATATAAAAATTATTTCTTCAGGCTCTATAGGGTACAGTAGAAACCTGAACAGATTTTAATTAGTTTGATATAAAAGTTAAGAAGACTGCTTTTCGATAAAGCATAATATAGGAATTTGGAATCATTTCCATCTTTTAAGATGACCTTGCGTTACTGCTTTTTTAAACCTTTAAAGACTCGAAGAAAGAATATTTATCTTTAATCATAAGTATTAAAGAACTATATTCGTATTTCAACGAACACAGGGGGTTAATAGCTCACATATAGGTATATGTAAGTGGCGTATTTCTCTAATCTTAACTAAAAATGCAGTAATAATATAAATTAAATTAAACTTGACATACCTGACAAGCATCTTTTCCTCCTTCATTATAACCAGCGCAAACGAAATTACTTGTAATAGGTTGATAATACCTCTGATCGCAATCTTTGTTGTCCCAAATAGGCATCGATACTTGCTGCATGGAGCCTGTGCCTCGAGTACCTGCAGTATAAGTATTCAATATTGCACGGTTAACAGTATGTAGAGCTACATGTTACAGAAATTGCTAATATTTCTAACAATAATTTAATCCATAAGAAGCACTTACATTTAATTTGGGAAGAGGATAATTTAAAAAGCATCCATTAGAGATGCAATCTACTAAGCTAAAGGAAACTGATGTAAGTACTGCAACAAGCATTAAAAATTAAGTCAGGTTTATTACATTTGTATTTATTGAAAATCCTCTTGGATATTAAGCCTATAGTACCCAAGTGGGTTTTCTAGAACCCATACACATGTATTATGTGTTAGAGAGAAATTATACATTGTTTAAAAAGAAGTACGCAATACAGAGTAGAAGAAACAGGAAAGCGAAAAATTTTGAAGCCCAAATCCGAACATAATTTTATAAATTTATAACATTAAAAAATATATTTTCCCGTTTTCACCTAGTGTAATAAAAATTAATAATAAAACCAGTAAGAAAATGTGAGAAAAGTGACCATAAACTTCGAACAAAGTTGAACATTATTAGTGCACTCTGAAAATATAGCATAAAACGTTGTAGAGACCAGTAAGAAGTTTTTACTGATTCTTAAGTAACCAGTTCTTACTGGTTATTTTTTTTTAAAGCAGGAGATTTGAAAAATGAGCAGTGCCCTCGTCGGAAGTCGAACCATGGACCTTTGGGATACGCGCCCAGCGTGCAGACCACTACACTACGAATGTATGATAAGAAGGCGTGACAAATACCTTATATACTCCCCCTTTTAATGGGCGACTAGGGTTTTTAGGTGACCCAATCGCCAAGTCTTGGGTGTGGAGAATCATCGTCCCTCCTCCTTTTAGTTCGAGCGCCAGTGTAGAGACATTAGGTTTTTTTCTATAGCAGGAGATGTGAAAAATTAGCAGTGTCCTCGCCGGGAATCGAACCACGGACCTCTGGAGTACGCGCCCAGCGTACAGACCATTACACTACGAAGGTATGCTAAGAAGACGGAAGAAATACCTTGTAACGTATTAAAATTCAGCCTTGATCGCAGCTTAAATTTTAAATTAACAGCAAATACTAATCACAAGAGATCGCTTTAAAAAATACTTTTGAAATGCATTACATAAATTTTAAAATAGCTTAATGGTGAATACAGGATGTTTGCAATAAAATAAATGATCATTAAGTCTTTTAAAATCAATTTGCGTTTATCTTTTTTCGTGCATTAATTTCGAGATTCATACATATGTTCTCTTCCTTATCATCCTTTGAATAAGGTTTCTTTAACTAAATCCTTTGTAGAAGAATATTTATCGGCATAAGAATTTGCACTAGATGCTTCTCATTTTCGCTTTGCTAATGAGAAGTGAGAAATGCTAGTTTCGAACGAGGCACACGAAAAGTTCTGATCGAAATTTTCTTTTTAGTAAGTATTTAATACTGTCTGGTGTTCGTAAATGGCCGTATTAATTTTCATCTTTCTGGTACATGGAATATGAAAGAGAAAAATATACATATTTGTTTCCTAGCATGATACTTGTATATTTCCTCAAAAGAATTCAAGAGAAAAGTTCAGAAATTGTCTAAAACTTTATCGGTGCACTTCGAAAGTTTCTAACCTTTGCAAACTGCCCTGAAAATTTTCTTAACTCTTTGTGAATTCCCACAGCGAAATATTAAACATCTTTACCAACATTAGCCTAAATACTGTGCCTCGTTTTATGTTACTTTTAAATATCTGCCAGTTGCTAAACTGGACCTGACCACTTTTTTCCTCATAAATAATTAAATCTGTACCTTCACATTAATTTATTTCCCATCTTAGAATTTATTTTTTATTTCGGTAAGTTTTATTAGCTAAACCATCCAGAAAACATAAAAAAGGAATTTCTATCCGGACGATAAAATGGTCTCCCATTAAGGAATGAGGAGAATGAAGAGGTATATTAATTTTATTTTGAATAAATGATCTCAAGGTAAGAAATTACTATACGAACAAATAAAAGCAAGAAAAATAATAATAAAATTTAGTTCAAATATACTAAATATGTAGGTATTCTTTCATTTATTATGTTACTGGAATCAAGGCAGCAGATTATAATACCGATGGCAGATTTCAATATTACGTTCTTAATTATTATTTTAAGAATTTTAATTTAATTAAATTTGCACTGACGTGTGTCTCATACTTTTCAAATTGCTGTTTTAATATGTAAAAGACGTATGTTCTAAGAGTCGCGTCGGATGCTTTAAATGAAAAAGAAAATAAGTTACTGTAATACTAATTAAATTTTGAAAACTTTTATTTTTGTACTAATTATGTATTTGGTTGTTTATTTTAAGGAAACGTAAAAAAGTGTTATAATTATTCTCAAAATAAAGTGCTTGTTCGCAAATTCAAATTTTGTTCCAAGATTGCTAATTTATCCAGATATAATTCAGAAAAATTATTTCGTTGATAATGCTCTTGGTTTCTCCTTGAAAGACGCAAAGTATTATCTAGTTAATTTGTAAGATATACATTAATTTTTATAACAGTTATTTTAAGTTTATGACACTTTTCTATCTTTTCCAGCTTACAATTCCTCACCAAAGTGAGATTTTAGAATCGCGTTAAATGCAAACTAGAAGAAGAAAGTGTTTAGTCAAAGTTCCACTGACTTCGAGAGAGAAAGGATTCTTGATTAGCGCGCATTTGCCTTTTGGCTACTTCTGTCTAAACTGTTACTACGCTTGGCTGTATTACGTGCCTTTTGATAACTTCGATGGTTAAATTAATATTACGGGCTAATTAGTTTAGAATTATGTTAGCTTCGGCTAAACTTCAGGTAGTCATTAGTTAGTTCTTATTTCTTACATTTTGAGTATAAGCCCAAATGGAAGCTTTGCTGTACGCCTGAGAAAAGGAGCCAATTGTTAAATCTTTAGTATGAGCAAGTAAAGGGCAATTAACCCTTCTTGAGTTTACATTTCTGTTCTTGGACTTAAGCGATTATTCGCTTAGTAGTTCACTTGGTACTTCGACGTTACATTTGACAAGATCTCAAGTGAGGAACCCTAAAAATTAAACCGCTTATGCTTATCTTTTGATTTTCATTTGATTTCAGGATTAATAATCAAGTTTCTGCTTCATCGTCGAGTTCATTAAAATTCAACCTATCTCTGTCCTTTCTTAAATTATATATGTAGATATATATTCATATATATATATATCATATATATAATTATATACTCATTTTAAAATTTTGCTACAGAAGGAAGAAGCGAGTCCTATTTGTATGCGAATTTACATTTCATACGAATTCATTCGTTTTGTAACAAAAAAGAGTGGAATTTTTTCTTATCCTAAGCACAGCAATTTGTTAGAATATCTTGGTATATGAAACTAGCTTCCGTGTCGAAAGATTATTAGTTTAAAAATTGAATGATAATAAAAATATTTTTGTTATTTTATGTCATTAGATGCAAGATCTTGCGGAAATATGAGGTGTCATACTAATACGTAATGCTAATGTTTTGCTTCAATGCTTCGTTTTACAAGCTTTCAAAATGATGTATTATTTTTGTTTTTATTAAGTTTAAATCAAACTAATGAGCCAAACTAGTTTATAAATTATCCAACAGAAAAAAGTGATTTTATTGCAAATAGTCCAGTGAGATATTATATAATATTTTCACTGCAGTTTCGTCTCTGCTAATCAAACTTAGTATTATTTTTAAATCAGGTAAAAAGGACACCTAAATTTGGCGTCAATTTTGAAAACAACGCTGTCAGTTTAAAGAACTACCAGACACAGGTGCTTTTTTACAGGAGCAAAAAATATTTTTTTTTTTTTTTTTTTCAAAAAATTCGAGGAGAGCAATCATTGTATATTGGAAACACTGCGTGGAGCAAATCGAAAACTACTGCAAGGCCATCTGTCAAAAAAATAGTAATAAATGTAAATAGTAATAAACTAGTAGTAATAAATGTAAATAATAATAATGTAAAATAGTAATAAACTTTCGCTGCTGAAGAAGAGGGACCTGTGTGTGAACACTTTAAAAATCTAGATAGTTTTACTAAAAATATGCTTCAAATTAAGCTTATATTGTGCCTTACTTCAAATTTTCAATCAGCGTATTTCTCTTCCAGTTTATATTTAGTATGTCTTAAGTTTCCTTTGTAAAACTTTTCTTTCATCCTTGATAGGAATATCTGTAATTTAAGATGATGAAACTTCAATTAAATTTATTTTCCTATTATAAGCTGCATCAGAGTTAATGAGCGAACAATTGTTTTTTATGGGATTATACATTTTTCTGACAGATAATTTATAAGGTGACCAAATTTGAACAGGATATTCGGCTTAAAATTCAGGATAGACTTCAGAGAAACTATTGCCCAAACCCTCCAAGCGTCTAAGGCTTTGTGCTCCAAATCTTAAATTTCCCCAAAAGGCCATGAGTTAGTGGTATTGTTTTGAATATAGCTTCAAAATGACCTTCCCACTTTGTACCTTCACTTTTTTCTTCTAATATATATACATACCAAGGCCATGAGTTTGTGTTATTTTCTTGATTATAATTTCAAAATGACTCTCCCGCTTCACTCTTTTCCTTCCGATATATATGTATACAAGAAACTAATTAGTAAAATTAAATTAAATAATTCTCTTTCCTCATTGCTGCAAGGAATGAAAATGCTCATGCCTATATGGATGACGAAACAAGAATTGAGTAATTGAGGAGTACTTCTGTCTCCTGCCTGCTCAACAATTATTCACTTAATGCAAATGAATTTAATTAAAAATTTTTAAAAAAAAATTTTTAAGATAAAAGTTTTAGATTATTATACATTTTTTCGTGCATTTAGATGCTTGCACTTAATTTATTTATGCATCCTGAATTTGAATTATATTGCAACTTAGTTCGCAGCAATAATTAATCATTTTATTTGTTTACAATTGAATTTTCATAATTTAAAAGTTTAATTAGCTTTATATGAATGAGACAATGATATTGTATTTGTTATATAGATATATACATACATATATATATATATTCTCTTAATATCCTGGACACATTTCAGGCTGCATGTTTGTGTATTTAAAATGTACCAATTTAAGTGACAAAAACTTTTGAATATATATATAGCTTGACCAACCGAAGAGTTAAAAATAGAAGTATAAAAAACAAAATGATTAAAAGCAATGACACTGACCGTAATTCATTGCTCCCCAACCGACAACAGTCGCCATTACTCCTACCATGGACTTCATCGATTTACTGGGCAAGCATACTGGCTGTATATAATCTGTAAATTTAACTGGCCGTGATAATTTTACTAGACCTATATCATTGTAAAATCCATTTCTTTGGAACTGAGGATGAGGTTTTAAAGATGCCACTCCATATTCTTGAATGCCTTTCCCATCCGAATTCAGCAAGTGATGCTCTCCTAGCCGTACAACCATTTGACGAGGATTGTACCTGTTGAAAAATGAATAGTTATTAGATATTAATGATTTTATTTTTGGATTGCTTGTTATAACAGAAAACTGACAGGTTGCAAATAGGTTAGGATTGTCTGATGAAGTCAGATATGAGGAGCCTATGCTGAATTAAATCCTCTAACAGGTTAAATGTTTGACGTTGAGATACAAAAATCATCTTGGTGTTAATATACAGAAAAACAAAGAAAACAGAAAGAAACAAAAGTACCGTATTTGACGGCATATAAGACGCCCTTTTTTTCCTATACTTGGTCTCAAAAAAGTTACCTTCGTCTTATACGTGAAAAACACAGTCTTATACGTGAAGGTAATTGCACTCAATAATTGTTTATTTGGCTTTTACGAAACGTGATCCTAAAAGAACCCCTATGAAACTTTTTCCTGTGTGTGGCCGTCTGAATAAGGGTGCGTCTTATATGCCGTCAAATACGGTATATACAACATTAAGAGAGATATGCTTTCGTGTTTATGTTGAAATCAGAGGAATTAAGATATACCCATATTTTTATCCACTTATAACAATCAGTCAGAATGTGAAATTCACTTCTGCTTTATACAATTTTATACATTTCCAAGGTTTTACGCTATATATATGTAATAATTTAAAAACGCTTAGATGAAAACCAGTGGAACCTTTAACAGCTTAGATACTGCGACTTGATGACCGAGAAGACTGTAGTGGCTTGAAGGTGGCTGAGTGGAAAGCATGATGACGCAATTTAGCACAACGTATCTTGAAGAATCACAATCTTAATTTTTTTTACGTATATCAAATTCTCCTTTTGCAGACAGATCTTTCCTAATTATACTTGAATGAAATGAATTACATTTTGAAGTACGACATCAACGAAGCAAGTAGGCAGCAGCAGCATGGATGCAAAGCGTCTTGCCAGCAACAGAGCTTATACGAGAAAGGGAGAGTATCATAGAACTTCAGAGAAAGAAGGTTGGGAAACAGAAAAGTTTCAGTTCAGAGTTTTGGTTTATAATTAATTTGATTGGACAAGAGGTATCTGCATTAAAACGTTACGTAGCGGAAAAGTTTCAGTTTAGAGTTTTGGTTAACAATTAATTTGATTGGACAAGAGGTATCTGCATTAAAATGTTACGTAAGTTAGAAAAACCTGGAACCCGTGAGAAGAGATGAATTTAGGGGCAGATTTATTTAGAATGTCTTTAGGTTGCCATTATTTTTTTAAACAGCTATATATTTAGTTTATATTTTTTTTATGTATTTCGTGTCAACCATTCTGTCTTAAGTCTAATGCGTCCATAATATGCATCTAACATAACCCTGAAGTTTACAGGTTCATAGAATTAGTTTTAGTTAAAAAATAACACCTATAAGCACTTTTCAAGCACATTTTTAAGGGAAAAAATAAGCCCTGTCTAATTATATTATCACAACTGCATAACCTTAAAAGAAAAATTATACTTTAATTTAAAATATGAGCCTGCATATTTATTAAAGATAATGACATTACCTCAAAATGGAAAACAATTAACTTTTTTTTTAATTTTAAATGACGTTCAATTTACAGAATATTTACAATGAGGAAAAAAACTATGCAGAACTAAACTATATTAAAAATTTAATGATGATATTTCAGTTGAAAATAGAGAATAAATAATAATAAGCCATATATTGTATTCATTTGGCACCTAATAAAATACAATTTATTTTTCCACTCATATTAATATTTAAATAATTTAACTTTAAATCAAATTTCTGAAATTTCTAAATTTTCATTGCATAAACAGTTTTCCCTTAACATATATCCCAAGCAAAGTAATTTAAGTAAAAAGGAACTTTTCTGAAATCAGAAGATGAGAAATTGCTTCATGCAATCATTCTTTAACAGTAAAAGCTTAACTAAACCAGCATACTCGGAAATTCCCGAATTTGCCGGATAGTAATGGAAAAAAGAGGAGTGGGGGAGATGTTGCCGTTCCTTAGATTTCTTGGAAATAAATGATTTGACATTTTGCTATGACATATAAAACAGGAACTGAAATAGCTGCTTAGAAAGCACATAAAACTTTTAAGTGTTCATAAACAAATCTCAGACTGAACATCAAAATATTCAATGCAAAAAAACCAAACGTTATCGCAATACGTGCATAATCAACTGAATCACACCTGTCGGTATTCGGAGAAAAAAAACTAAATCAAGAAAGAAGACTTACTAATCTGGGGTTTTCCTTCTAATTTTCACAGACTGTAGTTAAATTTCCGGAATAAATCAACTTCGCTGGTGGGACCGCAAAAACTTTTAGTCCATTCAATCCATTTACAGTGACCAAAAAAAGTCCGCTGCTTCAATCTTAGAGATTTTGCGGAGAAATTCCAACCTGTATAATGTAGGCTGTATGTATACTGTATACTTATTGAAGAAATGAATTATTTGACTATTCGATATTCCTTTATTTAAGCCATTCCGAATATTATCCTAGAAGCTATCTGTGTAAAACACACCCATTTTTGGAAGTTTCTATACTTCAGCGTTACTGCATTATATATTATAATATTCATAAATACTCATAATATAAGCTAGGATCATAATAAACCGAATTGAACGAACACCACGGACGAATGCAAATTATTAAATTTGATAGAAATTCAACGTATATAGTTTTGGTGGGCGAAAAGAATACCGGATGTCCGGATTTTCTTTTTCGTTCGATTCTTTGGCCATAGACGCTGCAGCCTGTCTGTCCTCTCCGCCGCACCATAGGTTACTTAATTGCAGAGGAGGGGGAAAAGCATTTTCGGGAGTATGTTCACCATCGACGTGCATCTAGGAAAAAAGTTGTTTATTTGTTTCACACAGCTTTGGTACGGGGGACAAATGCGCGTTTCCTTAAAACAAAGATTAAAAGCATAAAAAAAAAAAAGGCTTTAAAAAAAGTAGCACTATAAGGCCTTACTTACATTTTATTTTCAAATATAAGGACTTATAAGCACTTGTAAGGACCGCTACGAACCCTGAGATATTTTTTGCCCAATCAAAGTAATTTGTAAACCAAAATCGTTTTTGTCTCCCTCCCTTTTTCCTCTGAAGTACTGCGACACTCTTTCTCTTTTCGCTTAAGCTTTCCTCCTGCTAATACGTTCTGCAATCATCTATATTCGCTTTTGTCTCTATTGTATCAAAATTGCTCTGAAAATAGGTATGACTGGAGTGCTAAGTGAATTGCGGTTACAAATGAGAAATAAAATTAATGTAGAATTTAATCCGGCTTGACTGTTTATTCTTCAAAATGGATGAACGCTCTAAGCATCAAAGTATCTACGCCATTAATATTTCTCTTCCACGTCGTAGTGTTCCTACATCAGTGCCTCCAAAATTGTTCTGTTATTATATTCTTCGGCCAGTTTTAATTATGAAGAAATCTACACGGGGTTGTTATTCTGTGTTCATAGTGAATCACTGGAAAAGTCCTGTTTCACCGAAAATTTTAATGCAAGTGTGTGCCGCATTCATAATCAAATCACTCATGCCGTGTCATCGAATTGCAGTTTTATTACATATACATGTATTCAACTGTACTTTGTATACAATGAAATATATAGCTGTAGATAAATAGCTCTCTTAGGCATTGTTTCGTTACATCTCATCATGGAGAAAAGAAAGCATTCCTTTTGTTTCAGCCCAAAACAAATCTTTATGGATAGTTTCTTTTGTAAGAAGAAGACTAGAACAATGATGCTGGTTTTTTGTTTAATTTATAATTTTTCTAATTAATAATTTTTTTCTAAATAGTTTGCACCCACTGAAATGGTCTGAAAACAAGTGAAACTTCGAAGACTCGATAAAGCGCATGCCTCATTCATTGAGAGGTTAGGCAAATTATCACATGTTATCTGCAGTTGTAAGAGGCATTGTAGATGAGTATTTCCTGTAAGCGTAAAAATAATTTCCTTTTGCCAGAGCCTACAGCTCATCGCAGATTTTCGATTGCAGCCTCTGCAGCTGCAGATCCACTGGACTCCTTACGCTCACAATCGTTCATCTTCATTAATGCTTACAGTGGATCCATACTATCGACAGTAAACCATCAGTGACTAGAAGAGACCTTAGGGTCGTTGATGAGCGAGTTCGTTAATGTTCACAGCGGTTACCGAGATACGATGCCATATTATCATGAAGACGCGTAGTAGTATTAGGGTATCCTCACATGAAATAGGAAGTGTGATATATATATATTATATTATATATATATAATGAAATTTTCTAAGTAAACGCAACTATGAGTAATTTAAAAATCGAAAACTTGCCTAAAGCAATAGCTACTTTAAAGTTAACGGATTAATATAAAAGAATATAACTTTGATTTTACTTTTGATTTTGAAATTAACATTAATATAAAAATGCATAATTTTGTTTTTGATTTTATTTTGAGTTTATTATAATAGACTTTGAATTAAAATTAATTATTCTTTTACTTTGATTTGAATTAGGTTTAATAAAAAGAATATAAAATTTTGTTTTCCTTTGATTTTGGTTTGATTATAAAAGAAAGTTTTAGTCTAAATTAATATATTCATTTATGCATTTTTCTATTAATGTCTTCTTTCGTATATATTAATTTATACAATTATCAACAGTGTTTTATATTTTTAATTTTTTTTACAATAGTTTGAGAGCGTTGGGGGATATTTTTTGTAAAAGAAGGATCTCGTCTAATCCAGTTCTTAACGAATACCTTAAATTAAGAAGAATTTTTTACTCATTTTTATTTTAGATTTTGTTTATGATAAAAAATATTTTAGCTTAAGTAGACTATTATCTTTCTAATAATTGAGAATTGTTCGTAGCTGATGATCTAACTCTAACAAAATAACTAATTTGATCCTTATTTGAAAAAAGAAAAACTGAAACACTCTCACTTAATTTGGTAGTAGATTGACTTGTTCCCCTTGACACCTCAGTTAATCTGCAATCAATGACAAAGCTACATTTTCAGTACTTTGGATTTTGATTTTAATATTTGGAATATTTACGGTTGAAGGATTTTTGATTACTTTACTTCAAAAGAAACGCACCTCTTATGAATCATAATACTTTAATGATAAGTTACGAATTCTGAAAATATAATCTTTCAATAAAGAGGAAAAGGTACTCACTTGTAGCCCCTTCTGTCTGATAAACAATGTGCTGCTGTCAAAATATACATACTATTTATTAAGGAACCCCCACACCAAAATTCTTTTCCCCGAGCAGTGATAATGAAGAGAGCAGCCTAAGGGAAAAAGTAAAAACATATTTTTTTCAGGAAAAATATAATCAAATGCGCATTTTTTCTATTTGCCAATAACAAAAATCTAAAATTTTGGTTAATCAAGATTTTTGGTTATGGAAACACTAAAGAAAATTCGATGGAAACAGTTCTTAATGCATATATATATATATATATATATATGTGTGTGTGTGCTCTAGTTGAAACATATATTAAATTAAATGTTGAATCCTAAATTCAGATTACAAAAGAAATTCAAGGTGATGTAAATTCGTAAGAACAATGGCAGATTTATTTTTCAAAATTGCTGTTTTCCAATCCCTATATTCCAACTTTGCTGCCTAATATATTACGTCATCGCTATCAAATTAAAAAAAATGTTTGAAAATGGTTGCACAATGCACAAGTTAACCAAATATATTTTAGACATATAGCTATTTTAGCTGTCAGTTGCTGAAAAGGCACTCTGATTATGTATTTTTAAATAGCAGTCCACTTACCGTTTTACTTCAGATATCTACTCAATCGAATTTAGGAGCAAGAAATTCAAATTATTCATTCCCAGGTTAAAATAATCTATTGATTATACTATTTCTTGAGAGGTATTCAGTAGCTGAAACACACCATTCTTTTACTAGGATAAGGAAAGGAATGGTTCTCTTGTTTAGAAGAAGGCAGGATGTGAATGAACACAGATGAAGTGATCACAAAAATGGAACTCTAATTAATTATAGCAATTAAAGCAGCTATTTATTCAAGATTCTTGTGAATAATAGTACTTTGGCTCACATTGAAATCCCTATGTCCCTGTGCCCTGATACCTGGTAGAAAAATGATACTAAGCATTTTCGTGTATAATGTAAAATAGCAAAATGAACTCAAGCGATTCATGATTAATAGAGATAAAATGGCTATGCATGTGGCTTTTTTAAGAGTACAGCATGCCTAACAGAATAATAGTCTAACTGAAGTATTTAGTAATCGACGAAGAAATGAAAGAAACACATGTCAACTTAGATAGACCGCAAGAAGTTCAAGGAAGAGAAGCATCTCAAAAGCAAAAATGCAAACCATAATTGCGCTAGTAGAAAACATTTTATGCTAAGTTGTTTTAATTCTTCCCTGATCCTTCAACGTCAGTCTGATGTGCAGTAAAGTTGATGCATATCCCAGAATAAAAGTCTTTGCAGTAGAATAATTAAGGGAACAATTGATAAAAAATAAATAAAAGTTTGACAAAAAAGGAATATTTATATATTTTAACCCGCTCAGTGCCGCTCCCGAGTTAACTCCGGCTTACTAAGTTAAAACGCGGCACTGAACAGGTTAATAGATATCTACTAGGATACAAATTAATAAAAAAATTGTTAAAAACTGTCGTGGTATTAACGTGGACGAAATGTCCACCATAAAATGTGTTAAATTACCGACATTCAAAGTAATTAAGAGCAGCGTTAATTTTTTAGCAGTGTTCTGCTTTAGAAACCTGCAGACAGACGCATATTGCAAATTGCTTTTTTGTATATATTTTATTCAATGTCCCCTGCATTTCTGTATACTGAAAAGAAATAATACTTTTTTAAGTTTAAAAATACATAATAATTATCATATGTAAGTAAATAAATTACTTGTGATTAAGTAAACTCGTGAAACATTACCTGCAGACCGTTTTTGACTTAAAGACTAATAACACAGTAAAGCGAAATACTCTGCTTTTGAGCAGGACTAGACAAAGACAGTCTAGTCTTTAAAATTAAGAGATTTTTGCAACAATAATTTTAAATTAAGAAATTTTTGAAACCAAGAGAAAAGAAAAACCAAGAACAGTACTTGGAGTTACTGAGCAGACGCACTGGTTATTGATGTAGTGACGGAAATATAGCACCTGGTTACTCCAGTACAACGCCAGAATTAATTAGTATGCAGCTGTAGAGATCCGATTTGAAGATAACAGTATCGAGCGCTGGATTCAATTATTTTATTTTCCGGATATATTCCGGGTAACTATAATTGTTTTTATCGGCTGAAGAAGGCAATTTTTAGCATGCCTTACCCTGATGTAAGTTTTTAAAAAAAATTCTAAAAAATTTAAGAGGAGACTAAAAATATAAAATACATGCCAGTTAGAATATTGCTAGAGCAATAAAAATGTTGCTTTCATTTCATTATTGTCTTAATATTGCATTTTATTCTCTTTTTGTTACTAGAGCAATGAGAATGCCATATAACCTATGACCTAGGTCAACCTTGAATGAATTTTAACTCAGTGAAAATATGCAAACTGTTCTAATACGAATGACATTAAATGTTTCATACCTTGAAATTGTGGTTATGACCAAGTAAACTAGTGTAAATCTTAACATAATTGCTGAAGCTTTTCTTAACATTTCTAACTCGGTAGAAAATCGGTCCTTTATCCATGGGACAGAAGCCGGAATAATCATGACCAGAAACAATGCAATTTATCACGATGGACAGGAAATGTTCAGCAGAAAATGTAGTTAATCAAGCTTTCAGATACCGCCATTGATTTTATTCTGTACGAAAAGGATATATATCTTCGGAAAGCATTACCTCTTAAGTTTTGAGAACTGCTTTACAAACAGGTGATTTATACTTTGATGAATCTCTGCCGCCTGCTGGTTGAATAGAGCCAGATTCAGTGAAGTTCATGTGATATTCTTCGAGTTATACTGCTATGTATTCTGATTTGAAGAATAATGTAAATCTGACTGAAGAGTATCTAAAGCAAGTCAGAAGTTTTTACTTGCATTTAGCAGAAGAATCCAGACAAGTATGCGTCTTCAGGAAACTGAATGACACAAATAAGCTTGATCAGTGCATAATCACTGATCATGCTATATGTGGTTGTGGTACATGTTATATGTGGTCACTTAAACAAATATTATTCTTATTTTGGATTGTGTGATTCATGAAAAGAAGGGTGAACTACGGCAGTCAATAATATATTTCAGTCTGCAATGTTTGTCAATAGCTGCGGTGCAGGGATCTTATACTCACAGTACATTCTGATACTTATATTCTAAGTTATTCGCATTTTATTTAAGGTATTTTGGGATCAATATTATCTTGAAATACTAGGACTTGACTAGTATTCTTGCCGGCCTTACAACAGACAGGTTGGATAAGACATCAGAACCACAGCATTCCTCTGCCGATGTGTTTCGTAGTGAATCTGGTTGCACTGAATTTTTCATTATTTTCCACGATAAGACGAAAGCATTTCATTTGGAAGGACATCCATCAAAATATTCATTTTCTTACAAAGTGTCTTAATTTTTTATCTATCGATGAAGTAATCATTCGTAATCATTTATCTAATTATTTATCTATTGATGAATTGATTTGTGTTTAGTGCAAAACGAAAGGAAGTTTCTCCCTCCCACAATTTTCATTCTCGAGCATAGGATTTATTTAGCAGATAAATCAGTGTACTGTTAGTGTGCGTTGAAAAGTTGTTTCAATAAAAACTGCCATTAATCGTAAAACAGATGCTATTAATTCTTAAAAGAATCAAAATGTTAAAAAAAATAAGTAATAAGATGATTTAATATTTGTAGCAGTCACAGTAAGTATTAACAAATGATTTGAAATATGGCGTCTGATCAAAGTTCACTTGCAGATGAAATCTCTTAAGTGTTTCAAAAGCAAGTGCAAAATATTATGTAGCTTATTTAATGATAGCCTTGTTTGTTTCAGGTTATTTTTATCAGATGTTAACTGAGCGAGCCTTGTTGTGCGTCCCTGAATGAATGCTGTATAAGTAACCTCAAATTAGTTAGTTATCAGATGTTATTATGAATCTCAGCTGAAGCGACGAAAGGTTTGTCTGTGGACAGTTAAAATGTTAATAAGGTCTAGATATATTTTTGTAATATAATTCATGATTTTAGGGCCTTGTATGAAATTTAATAATTAAGTCTCACTTACCATCCACGGCCATTGTCCTGGATAACTTTCATGACCTCCAACAACCCTAGCGTTCCTTCCCCCTATACCACAAGTACCTGTTTAAGAAAAGATTAAGTGCAATTGAAGCGAAGTTAGAATTATTTTTTAAAATATTTTTACATCAATTTTACTTATACAAGATGAAGTAGTTACGGTTATCTACTTTTAAAGCAGGATAACATATTTATTATATACAGCAATAAATACAACAGGACCCGATTAGGTAAGTCAGAGTCTAATATTTACAAGAAAGGTCTCATTTCTTCATAATAGCGTCCTGCAAATGTTCACAAGTTAATGCAATAAATAAAGCTTATTTACCCTCCTTGGTTGCTGCTAAAGTAAAGTCGCAGAAGACTGTAGGATTACGGACAGCATCTTAAGGAGCGGACAGGGAATGTCAGATGGGTACAAAATAAATATATACTAAAACTATAAATATTCAGGCTAATTGGGACCACAGCCAATTTGGATAATCAGGCAATTCTAGCAAATAAACTACTCTCAAAATCTCAATAACAACATTGTATTTAGCGTACATATATTAAATAGTAATATAGTGAAATGTTAATTTCGTTCTCCTGATGAGGAGGGACCTTTAGCTGCCCTCGAAATCGATTGAGTGTTTTAATATATGTACGGTAAATACAAGGTTGTTATTGCGATTTTGATTGTCACATTAACTTGTTTCTCTTCTTTTCTAATTAAACTACTGTTTTCTTTCGACTAAATTCATATTTTCTAATTATAGTGCAAGGAGATTTACTTTCCGTTTACTACATATTTGTATTTCAATAAAAATTGCCCAGTTAAAAAGACAGCAATTTCTTTTGTAAAACAAAATATAGAAGGTTTGCTGATAAAATTATATAATGAAATTATATTCAGTACTTTTTAACATACCACCCAGGTCTCTGTAAATTTCGTTTTCTGATAAAATATGAAATTGTGTTTACTTTATTCGCCTTATAGTTTTGTTGGAGAATCGTGCGTAAATGATTAAAGAAAAAAATGCACTACAAAGCCTCGAATAATTAAGTCTTTTCTATCTTAATATAGTGCAATGTTTTTTTATTTACATTATGTAACTGATAATTTCTTGATTAACGTTTTTAATGCTACATATTTGTTAAATATTCTGAGCCAAATTTTAGGTAGCACGAATGCGTCTAAGTTAATTTTATAGTTCAAAAGCATATAGATTTAGTTATAACAAAGAAATATATAGATATATATTAATTCACTCGTACGAAAATAATATTTTTTCTCTTACGCTATTTAAATCAACAAGACGTAAATAAACTAACAAATATTTTAAATTAACTTAATCTAGAAATGACTGGCAGTCCGGATAACTGAAGTGCCGGATATCTAAATTCCTAAATTTGCGTCGCATCCCTAAATGGGATAGCAGAGTAAAATGTTGGAATGACAAAAATTTAAAGAACATGAAATACATGAATTTGAAAAAAACATCAGTAGCAGTTCTATCGCTATCTTTGATTTATGGTATTTTCTATTCAGAACAATTATAAAATCGTAGTACTGTCCAAACTGAGCTGTAAATTATATTTACATATTGAAAAATACCAATAAGCGTATTATAATAGAGAGGTCGCATTACAGTTTCAGCATATAAGTTATTTCATTATCAAAACATGCCGCAAACGTAAAAAGTACTAAATGTTCTGATTCAGACAGGCGTGCCGAGAACAATGTCGGTATCACTACGACTAGTGTAGTCAGTTTCTCAGTATAGTCAGCTATTTCTATTTCATCGCGATAAGTGTAAGAAAAATATATTATTGCATTTTATTGTTTTACTCGACTGAGGTTGGTATTTACTTTAATAATCATTATTAATTTTGAATAATTATAAGAGATCTTATTTTATTTATTCTTAATTTATTTGAATAATTATTGTGAAAGATCTCATTTTATTTATATTTTAGGAAAAAATTATTTTTACCCATGGATAAATGAGTTTAAATAACAATATAATGACGCATATGGCAGCGTTATAAAATTTCTTTAAACAGGATCTAATAATCAAACTTTGTTTAATTTTTTGCTTAATTTAATTAAGTAATCTGTTTGTTTAATTTGCAATAACGTTTTGGCTATGGAGAATGTGAAACCATCAAAAACTAAGAAGGCATTTTGAATCCAAGCATCCTTTGTACGTCAACAAACTAAAAGATTATTTCGAATGACTGTTAAAATTTTCAAATGACCAAAAACAATATTTGAGAAATTTAGGACTGTTAACAAAGACTGTTTACTTGCACCATTCGACGTTTCAGATCTGATTGCTAAAAACAAAAAGCCGCGTACCGTTGGAGAAGATCTTGAATTACATGCTGCTATTAAACTGGTAGAAATATTTTTCGGAAGTGAATATGGCAATGGAATTTGGTAAATTCCTTTGTCAAAAGCACTGTCACAAGTAGAACTTCTGAAATTAGCAAAACTAATTCGAGCAACTTAGTATTACACTTAAAGAAAGCCCAAAATTTACAGTTTTGTCGGAAGAAACATCTGATATTTCAAAAATAGCTCAATTCAATTGGTAGTATATGGCAAACATATTTATAAAGAAAATTTCGATGACGAATTGTCATTTTGTCGTTCTTTGGAAGAACATATTACAGAGGAAGACAAATATAGTAAAGATGACGAATTTTTCAAACTGAATTTTTAAATGGAATAATTACATTGGAGTATGCACAGACGGTACAAAAGTGTTGACAGATCAAATATTGTTAAACTGTATGTCGAAAACGTTTCGTTAATGTCAGAATTTTAAATAAATAGCTGCTTTAGCAACATTTTTGTTTCATTTTAGGATAACTGACACACGGTATGTTATTGCCAAATTAATTTTTATATTGATATTGAGAAAAAGTTGTTATATTAAATTAAATTTAAATCAAGACTCTGTAAATATGCATATTAACCAGAAGTGTTAAAATATTTCGTTTTCTGGTTTGGGAAAAAAAATTACGAATTGATTGTTGCTTGGAAAAAATGAACTGATTTCATTTATATTGAAATTATTTTCAGCATTTTCTTTTCAGGTGTACATAAATTCTAAGAAAATAGTACCCAAAATAAATTTTAACGCACAAGTGATCGATCTTTCTTTCATTATATAATAAAGAGTCTTTTAGCAAGAATTTAAAGTTAGGCGAAACAATGTATACATAAGTTTCTTTCTGGAGTTCCCCGTTGTTTATGTATATAACTATGCTAAGACCTTATTCTTGAAATCCTACAGCTGTCACAGGGCATTCTTCAGAGTAGTACGGGGTTCTGTGCGTATATTAATCCAGTTCTTTCTGATTTAGAGTTTTGATTTTAATCTGATATTATATATTTTAGTATTCGATAAAATTTATAGTGTCAGATAATAATCTGATACTATGTATTTCAATATTTTTGTTTTAATCTGATATCTCGCTAATAGATCTAACATTTATGAATATCATTTAAAATTTTTGCTGCAAAGTTTTAAGGCTCAGAAATAATAGACAACACGTATGATTACAAAACCTAAGCAGCCATGAGAATACAGAGAATACACTTACAGAGGAATTTGTTATATACATTTCTGCACTGAGTTAAGCAGGTGCCTGATCATGTCCTGAAGCAGATGAGCCCACTCATGTTGGACATTATGCTTGCTGCATATCATAAATACAGCGGCATGGGGGACACAGAAATTTCAACTTTTATCTCACGTCTCAGTGGTGTACAATTCAACAGAGTAGAGAAACATGACGTGAGCAATTCTAGGCTATTTTATGTTTGTGTAGTTAGACGTTATCTTGCTTAGTTAGATATCTATTCTGAATTCCCTGTCAAAAATGGAAATATGTGAGTTGTTAGGATCATAGTCACAGGCCATTGAGTTGTTAATATCTCATTTACTAATACGAAAGAAGATTGGTTGTCACAGACCATGGCTTTCCAGATCATAATCCCTGCAGTGGCGAATTGTGCCATTGATCAGAAGGCTTCCACATCTAGGCACGGTCATTTGTCTCCAAAACAAAGTGGCACTCATCATAAAGCGCCACATATTGCCTTTGAACATCTTCCTATTATGCAAATACCGATTTCTCTATTTCCAATAAAGTGTCGGAAATAGGCTGTTAATTTGTTCAACAGATGGCAGAACTTATTGTTACGTAGAAAAAATTAATTATTAAAATTACTTTTTTCATTTATTTTTTAAGCTAACTAACTTCTTGTTCTGGTGCCACGACATAAAAAAACTCAACTAAAACTAAAAACTAAGTACTTACTACTCTCGGAATCAAAATCTTAACACCTTAAAATCAAAGAAATCAAAGAAAAATATCCTCCCTGATGTTTTGTTAGAATCAAAGATAATGTATCAAAACAAAATGCGAAATGCACTTCAGCAACCAAATCACCAATCTGCTATGTCTCACAAAAAATAAAACTAATTCAGATCTAAAACCTAAAACACATAAATATCGACACCAGAGAAGGATCGCTCTCTAAAACCCAAAATCTGAATATTCTCATGAGAAACAATATTCAGTTGATGCTTAATTAGTTGATATAACCACAATAAATCTGGCAATTGTTCGAGACAGTCACGGTTTGCTATTTCATCGCTGTCCAAAAAACAAGTCTGAAGACTCTTGCAGTCAGAAACAATGTTCAATCGATACATACAGTGGCACAAACAATTGAGGATACACCTTACTTTTACTTGACAAATCCGAATTTCAATCGAAATAACATATTAACTAGAAGTGCAAACGTACTTTTATTCTTAGACATAACAAAAGGTTTAATTAACAGTAAAAATAAATAAAAATCAACGACAAAATTCTAAAATAAAAATTTTCAGAGGCATTTCAAATAAACATAAGCAGATTTTTACCTCAAAAAATTGAGGATACGCCAATGAAATTTTTGTTTAACTACAACTAGATTTTTTTCCTGCTTGCTACTATCATAATCTAAGTTTGGGCAATTGTATCTTAAACTTTTTCGACTGTTATTTTTGTCTTTTGATGTT